TTTGTGACCAAGAAGAAGAAAGCCTGAAATAGTTTGATACGTGCACCTTTAATTTGAAAGATCACATTTCAAAAGGTTCAGAGAAAGGACAGGTAGGATTACTATGAAATAAAATTCTCCAAGGCAAGTCAGTTTGGCCATGAAGGATGGGCAGCTTAAGAATGAAATATTGAATACATGCAATTCCAAATAATGTGGATGTACAGAGAACTACCGTATTAAACAACATTTTAAAAATATTGAAGCAAGTGCTAGTAATGGATATAAAAATGGATTTAAAGAATGGCACGGTCCTCTAAGTATAATGTCAAAAATGCAAAAAACTCCAAATGAAGTGTAAGTGGTAAAGAAAATTAAGAATAGCTATCCCCCCATCCCAATTCCCCCCCCCCCCCCCCAAGAAAGAAGCTTTCCTGGGAAAAAGAAAACAGTCAGAATAGAACTACAGATTAGGGTAGATGAGATGATCCTTGTAACAATGACAGAGAGAAAGCCGAGCCATTCAATTTTTATTTTGTTTCCGCTTTCTCTACCAAGTAGAATAATCTTTAAATTGGAAGGAACAGAACAAAGATAGCTAGTAGAACGTTGATAGTCAAGGAAAGTTGGTTTTTGTCCTTCGTTCCCGAAGAGAACCAAAAAGACATCTCTGTGTTGGGGTCAAGGTACAGTGTGTCTGACTGTGGCTGATATGACCAATGTGAGCTTGGAAGGCTTTTCCACAGGTCAGGCACACATGAAATAGTCCACATGAACATCTAGAGTGGAGATGTCTCTAAACTGGCATATTTCATGTTTCTTTTGAGCTACTGCAATTCTGCTTTGCTCATAAAGTACGGTGCCTTCTTTGAGGCATGCACACCATGCTGGGCAGTCCTATGTCAATGAACCCCATGTCTCACAATGAGTTCTTCAGAGACATGCTGGGAATGTCCTTGTTAATGCTTCTTCTGACCTCCATGTGAGCGCCTGTCTTGTGTGAGCTGTCTGTAAAATAGTCTTTTAGGCAAATGTACACTTGGAAAGTAAGGGAAGTAAGGAGATAACTGGAGAACACTTAAATGCCATTGATGAATTCAAATCACCTGGCCTAGATGAGCTACATCCTAAAATACTAAAGGAACTGGCAGATGTGATTGCTGAGCCATTGTAAGAAGAGGATAGGTTCTGTAGGACTAAAGAAGAGCAAATGTCCTAATTTATAAAAAATAAAATAGATAAGTGTATAAAGAGTAGTCCAGAGAGTCTGACTTTGATTCCTGCAAAATTCTAGACTCTGTTAGTAAGGAAGCATTAATTCTTTTTTTTTTTAATTTTTTTTTTAAGGCAATTGGGGTTAAGTGACTCGCCCAGGGTCACACAGCTAGTAAGTGTAAAGTGTTTGGTCTGAGGCAGGATTTGAACTCAGGTCCTCCTGACTTCAGGGCCAGTGCTTTATCCACTGCGCCACCTAGGTGCCCCGGAAGCATTAATTCTAAAGAATCACCTAGCATGGCTTCGTCAAGAATAGGTCATGCTAGACTAAACATTTCATTTTTTGACTGATGAAGTTATTGAATGAGTAGATCAGGAGAATGATGTACATATAGTATACCCAGATTTTAGCTCTTCTGTAAAGTCTGAAATGTTATTTTTGTAGACGAGACTAGAGAAATACAAATTAGACAACTGCAGAATTAGTTAGACTGGCAACTGGTTGAATGGCCAGATCCAGAGAATAGTCCTTAATGATTTAATGTTAACTTGTTGAACATTTTTCCAATGACTTGGATAAAAGCACAGATGGCATACTTAACAATTTTCCAGATAACACAAAGCTGGGAAAAATAGTTAATACACTGGAGAGTCAGGATTTAAAAGTATAATAACATTGGGCTGGATTGAAAAAAATGAAATTTAATAGATTATAAGCATAGAGAATTATATATGGATTTGAAAAATCAATTTTACAACCATAAAGTAGACAAATGTAGCTGGGCAGAAGTCCAAAAAAGAACTGGGTTTTTCTGAGGAACACAAACTCAATGAATCAAGATTATGATATTGAAACCAAGAAAACTAATGTGATCATCAACTGCATTAAGAAAGGCAGGAAAGGATACAGAATGTGTCCAGAATTAAGGAGTTAACTGCCCCACAGTACTCTATTGTCCTGGTCAGACCACCTTTGGGGTATTGTGTTCAGTTTTAGGTGCCACAGTTTAGGTAATAAGCTGGAGTGTGCCCACCTGAAGGCAACCAGGCCATGTGAGGATCAGTTGAAGGGAATGGAGATGTTAAGCCTAACGAACAGGAGACTTACGAGGGGAACACCCTTGTCTTCAAGTATTTGAAGGTCTGTTGTGGAGAAGAGGGATGAGTCTGTTTGCTGCAGTAGATGGAATAAAGAACAAGGAATAATGGGGCTGAACCTGAAAAGAAGTCAACTTACGTTTGATGTAAGGAAGCTAATCCAAAGGGTGAATATTTAAAGGGTGGATCAGGTTGCCTTGAGAGGGAGTATGTTTACCCAGGTGGAAGTCTCCAAGCAAAGGCTGAATGACCAACTGTGCTGGAGGCTGGAGAAAAGGTGCTTTTTTTCAGGTATGTGGAACTAGTGGGTCAGGGTTCTTTTTCAACCCTGAAAATTCCAAGTTTCTGTTTCAGAATTTTCAATATAAATAACAAGTGGAATCTTCCTTCTAATGATCATGTTTCACATGTAATGGAATGGGATATATGGCAAATTACTAAAATACAAATTATTAAGAGATCTGGCTAGAACTGTACATCTTTCATGTTCTGGGAAAAAAATGAACATCTTCATGTTCCCTTTAACTAACTACCAGAGAAAAGGAAGACTTTCATGTTAATATGAACCTTCTCATCTTTTAAGTAGACAACATATTCACAATAAGGTTTAGAAAAAGCTAAATCTATTTCTAATCTGCTGACGAAAAGCTCATTGAGTTGGACCACTGATATTTACAGACTGCCAACACTGTGAGGAAGTATTGCACAATGTGAAGTTTACAAGAATCTGGTTCCAGTGACTGACAACTAGACTTAAGCGTCAAAAAGACTGAGTTCTAGTCCTACATGTACTGCTGTGTGGCAAGTGTGGCCTTATTGAGACTCAAGTGCCTCATTTGTCAAAGAGTAATAAATGAAACCCTTGCCCTCACCCCTCAGTCTACCCCAAGTACCTCATAGGGTTGTAGTGGATTCAATAACATAGTATGGAAAATATATAAACACTGTAAATATGTGAGCTATTACTATAAAAATTTAAATAAGCTTCATAAACTTACACAAAAATACTTTTTAGGCTATTCTGATTTTCTAGGAACATTTCAGGACTTTATGGATTAAAAAAAAAAAGGTATTTATAGTCCCAGACTGATTTCACTGACAGAAAATACAATTTAACCACGAATAATAATTACAGTACTTTTCCAAACAGTTCAAATTTTAATGTTTGACAGACCATTTTCTAAAGTATTATGAAATAACAACAATAAAAAGGCATTACATACTAATCAGAAGTTTTCTGAAAAAACAAATTTATTTTCTTCAATGGGGGGAGGTGTCAAATGAAAATCACAGATTACTGGTGATTCAAGAATACTATGGTGATAGGAAGGTATTAGCAATCTATGGCAAGTGCCATCAAGATCTTAGATAAAATTATATGGTATGCAATTTTTTTGCATGTTCTGCTATTGCAGAGCACTTCCTTATCCTTACCTCTATCTGTGCAGTATCCTTTAGCTATATAGTATATAAAACCTGCCACTATAGCACTCCTCAACCAAGGCTTTTCACTGAAAAGCCTTCCACCTCTAATCTGAACTCCTATTTTCTCAATACCAGTTTTCTCAGCTGATTTTTGAGGGAAGGTAATCTGAAGAAATTACATCAGAGTATCAATGACAGATGCTTTAAAACTCCCAGAATTAAGCTGGAAGTAGGGACTTCTTTTGTTAGGTAGGCAATTATTAGCTTATAAATGTCATAACTTACATTCAAATCTTTTGAGTCTCTTTCTTTTTGGGTTAGATTAACATTACAAATTGAAATTAATTAACAGCTCAAATAAACTTAAAATGTGGATTTAGAATTCAGAAAGTCTTAAGGAAAATACAATCCAAATCTCCAGAGAATAAGATAACACTGTCAAAAGAAGAAAACTCTAAATCAGTAATCAGTTTTAAGTTTTTATAAGAATATTAAACTGTGAAACAGCATGTAAGTAGTACCTTTTTTCATGGATTTCGTGAATGAGGAAAAATGAGACCTTAATATATGTATAATTTTTTAAAAAATCACAGAATCTCTAAAGTTGGAAGAGACTTTAAAGGCCATCTAGTCCAATGTCTTCTTCAGGGTCAAGACCCAAGTTGCTTTTTATAAGTTTAGATTGACAGGTAGTACAGCCCACAGCAGGTGGAAGAAATAAAGCATCACCAAGGGAATAAGAAAAAAGGTTTCTCTTACAACACAGAATGCTTGAAATTTTAACTTAAACTTTCCAAGCAAGTGATTTTTAATATGGTAGTCAGGAAACTACTTGCATTTAAAAAACTGTTGTTACTTAGCACTGATTTAGTTTTACTGGCTTTGGTATCTGAAACAACATATTAGATTCTTTCCCTTTGACAATCCCTTCCTATGAACATGTCTTTCATATAATGTAATGTTTTTTATTTAGAATTAGCAAAATAGTCTTTAGGATTTCCAAATATGTCTTTTAAAAAAAAACAAACAAAACCCCAAACCTATATGTGGTATAAAGAGATGCACAAACCTATTCTTGAGGTTTTGTTTTCAGAAACCTAAATATGTTCTCCTTTTAAGTGAACATTTGCTACTGACAACGAATCACCTACTTGCTTAAATCAGGTGTGGCAAAGATGTTATGACATACATTTTAGAACACTGAACATAAATTTGAAAATTATTCCACTATTCAAAACTGGTGATTTCCAAGAAATACATTCATTTCATTTCAAAACACCTACCTGAATAGCTGAATTCATGAAACACGTATTTCCCAAGTTACTTAGGCCACATAGGCCAGGCTGTTCATTGTTTCTTCCTGGCTCTGAATAATCATAGTTCTTATAAGCAGTGTATGATGGGAGACAATAGTTTGAATTTTTCACACTGGAAGAAAACAAAACATCTTTCATAACGCAGCCAATAAAGAACTCATGGATCATACTGCTGTAATACACATATAGCACTTTATACTACTCATGACATAAATGGTGCAGTTAAGATTGTTTTTATAAAAGCACTTAACTTAGATATTTCTAAGTTCTGAACCCCAGCCAAAACAAACCCACCACACATCCCTTGATCAGTCATCAAAAACACTGCATCATGTATCACACCAACCAATACAGACTACTACTGTATTTTTCTACCCTTGATTAACTGGAGCAGCTTCACAGCAAACTCCATTCTTCATTGCTCCATCAAATTTAAAACATTCAGATTTTAAACACCACCAGCAGCAATAGATCATCTCATTTACGTCTCTTTTGCATCCTGCTACTGTAAGAGTGAGAACAGTAGAAATGGGAAGGAAGAGTTGTGCTTCAGTTACAGGTGAGAGCTGAGATTTCCAAGGCCACTGTGACATCACTGGCCTGATGCATTGAAAATTCTATTTATAGTTTCTCTGCTAGGACAGCATAATCCAGCACTGAAATACAGAAAAAGCCTGGGGTGATCAGGAATGCACAAAATGCTTGTAAGCAGGCATACCCCTACTAGTAATATATAGTTTTCCTTTTCTTCAAGCTTGTTAGATGTAAGTAGGTTATGTCATTAGATGACTGATTTTAGGCTAATTTGCTTAACGGTATCCTTTTATTTTCACACCTATTAATGTTTTAGAAAAAAATCCAATTAATTAAAACTTAAGTAAACAAGGGGAAATTAAAAAAAGACAAGTAAATAAGAAAATACTCCTATTTTTAACAAGTAAAATATTTTATGTAAAAGAGTAAATTTAACCTTAAACTCTTTCTATTAGTAATCATAAAATATTCACAGTAGAAGCTTTGGAAACTATTCAAGGCATTCCTGCAATTGTTCCAATTTTTTTTTCCACCTTAGAACAAACCTGAGTAAGGTTCACAAGGTCATTTGATAAAAGCAAGCATGGAAAGAAAAAAAAATGCAGTGTTATGAGTGAATACTGATGAATTTACAAATCTCATATTTTTTAAAAATTAGTTACAGTGGTCTACAAACTACAGTGTTTTAATTTTAAAAAATCATGTCTGCAGTTGATTACCAAGATATCCAAAATATTTCCTATTTTCCTATATTATTAGAAGTTTTAAGAACTGAACTTTATACTACTTCCCTTTATTATTAAAAGTTTTAAGAACTGAACTTTATTATACTACTGTAAGGTTTATTTATTGCTTGAACCTTCCTCTACCCACCTCAGCATCCAATTAAGTTAATGCTAAAAAAAATTATTAATCCCACATCAACCTAAGATTACACACCTAGTGCAAACTAGTCAAAATCTTGAAATCTGGTGGAAAAAAATGAACTCTTCAGATGAAAGAGAAATAAAGAGCACACTACAAGGAAATTAAGTGATGCTAGAGTTATACCAATTTACCTCTTTAAAAAACAAATACTTTGAAAGTGTCACAAAAATAAAATTCAAATATACTATTTTCTGCAAATTATTAGACCCATTATAGGTTCTTAAAATACTGGAAGCAAATTGCTATAACATCCATTAAAAGAACTGAATTATGCTAATATTTTAAATCATTTTATATTCTTACTGCTAAAAATTAAAATGCAGGGTTCTAAGTACGGCATAAAAAATACAGTATCTTCATTTTACACGTTAAGTTAATATAAACGGGAACTATATTCTTGTTATAACAACATAATGAAATTTTAGTAATCACAAGCCACAATTTATGGGAAAATACGCACAAATGTATGTCCATGTGCTTGCTCTCTCTCTTTCTCTCTCTCTCTCTCACACACACACACACACACACACAACCAAAAGCACATATAATCTCACTACACATGCATATATTCACACGTATCCTTCACTATATATAAAATAAATGGTGTATGAGAACTTATATTTGGTGGCTGTGTAATCATGCTTCTTGTCTATTAGGAAATGAACAAGATACATTTCCTAAGAGCTTATGCAATAAGCTAAATTTTAGGTTGTTTTGGTGACAAATTAAGAATTGCTTCCCCAGAAGGCAAGAGATGGCCTATATGATTAAATCAAATCATTCCATTTATGATACATTGACAATAAAACTTTTGATTGCCCTAAATGCTATTATATTCCCTAAAGCAAATTACATTAAATAATTTGCAAAACATTCTATGACTCTAGTGCTAAGTTTTAAAAAATAAATCTTTACTATCTTATATAACTGAAATTAATCTTTTCTTCTATTACAACACCCTAAGCCAGTCTCTTTCATAAAAGGCGATTTTATTTTGCACAATGCCAACAAATTCAATAGTAAATTGAATGGATTACATAAAAAAAAAGATTGTTTTAAGATATTGTTAGCTTTATACAATAGTAATAGAATGTTAAAATTAGTTTTTGTAGAGTTGATCCCTATTTTCCCAGTGGTACCTGAAATAATTTTAGGCATTTTATCTTTATTTCCAATGGTTTTCAACTGGCAGAAACTCTATAGCTTTATTTATTTATTTATTTTTTTAGGGCAATTAGGGTTAAGTGACTTGCCCAGGGTCACACAGCTAGTAAGTGTCAAGTGTTTAGTCTGAGGCAGAATTTGAACTCTGGTCCTCCTGACTTCAGGGCCAGTGCTCTATCCACTGCGCCACCTAGCTGCCCCCAGCTTTATTTTTTCTGTCATATAAATATGTATTCTTTTTAAAAAACCACAAAACTTATCTGCATCCGATATTCTTACTTAAAAGAACTTATAACGAAAATCTGCAAAAACCAAAGCTGTTCATAATTTATATAATTTGAAATCATTAAAATTATTGATTCTAAAATTTAAATGCTTTTTGTAACATTCAAGCTAGTACAATTATGAGGGTTTTCTCAAATGGATAAAGAGGGCCCTTACAGAACAAGGTGCTACCTTGGAGAACCTTCTTTTAATTTTTACTTTTGATGGGCAATTTCCTTGAGTGGGAGAGATGTAGCAGGCCATTTATGGAATTAATGAAAGTTAAGGTTGAAAAGAACTTACAAGTGATCCAATCACTTATTTATTTATCAGTCTGCCCATCTATTTATTTATTTTTACAGATAAAAACAAAATGAAAAAACAACAAATCATGAGACAAGGAGTTTAAGTGACTTGTGAGGATTACCCTGCAAATTAATTACAAAGCCAGAACTAATCCAAGTTTCCCAAATCCTAGGAACAGGGCTCTTTCTAACTATTCCACATTGTCTTATACAGGGTGATCCTAAAGTCTTAATGCAGTTTTAACCTGAATATGTTAGCAGCAAACTCACTGATTTTAATTTAAGACTGCACTAAGACTTTTGGAACCTTTTGTATTTCAAATTACCGTATATTCACTGGAAAAGTTCATGTAGCAGGGAAAAGGCTTTCTTTGTTTATTAAGAGTACAGGAACAGGTGGCAGATACTCACTTTCTTTGGTATGATACTATTCTTTTTAAGGAACTAGGTGTCAGAGGACAAAAGGACTACAGAGTAGAGGAAAAGGGAAAATGAAAGAGGAAATTAGTTTTAAACTAAGACACTAATTGATATCATCTTAAAAAATATTGGAACATTCCTCTAACAAGTTGGAGGCATTTCATTTCTGAATAAAGGTAGTAACTAAAGAATCAGTTAAAAAATACAAAGTACACTGAAGGTAGATAATTTTTAGAGAAGGTGGGATTCAATATATCTATATCAATGCTATATCAAAGTTAGAATTGGGCTGATATGTCACAAGGCCAGAAAATTGGATATGATTTGTTTTAGAGAAATAATAAAGTGCACATCTCCATATATTTAATTATCTTTTGAGATACTAAATATAAACTAGATATAGAATGGGTAGCTATTATATAAAAAAACCAAATTTTATAAAAGAAAAAAAGTCCTGGCCACATATTTGCCATATTTTTTTGCCCTATCAGGAAATTTTGCTAAAATAGTCAAATGTTTTACACTACATATATCACTCAGTATATTAAGTCACTTATAATTGAATTTTCATAATTCAAGATGACAAAGTTTAAAACCACAATACTGAATTACTGTAGAATTTTGCAAGATTTGATCATATACACATAAAATCATCATATACATTTATTTTACAGCACAATCTCAATGTGTTACCATTGGGTGACACTTAATAACTGGCTACTGAATTACTATACAGAATTTCATTTATGCAACTTAGTGTAAAAGGGTGACCTTCATATATTTTAACACTGACAACTCATGTTTACATCAACCTGAAGTTCTACCCCACACTGCTATATGCTTTCGAAAACCAAAAAATGAGTCAATTTTAAATATTTATAATGTAGTTTCTAATATTTCTCTAAGCAAAAAGAAATTCTGATTTAGTACTGCTTAAATTATCACATAATAACAAGTCTTACAAATATGGAAATATGCTTTTATGTATTAAAATTATATATTAATATTCAAACTGGTAGTTATGAGAATTTTAATAAAATTCCCTTATAACAGAATTATCTGTAATGATAAATCTTAAATATATAGCAAAAATGTTAAAAGAGGTTTCCAAAATAATCCAATCACTAAGTTAATATATTATTAGGTTGTGATTCATTTAACCGATTGTCAAAACCATTTTCATAATGAGAGAAGACAAACATAAACTACGAATATACTGTCCTTTACTGAGCATGTTAGCTATACTAATCTCTAGTTAACAGTCAGGAACCAGTTCACCACAGCATTTCACTACATAAACTTAACATATATTTACAATGTACAGTTAAATTGCATGTATTTTAATAGTTTAATATCTAGAAGTGTTGGTCAGGGGAAAAAATCACTTCTGATAAAAGTAGTATTTATTAGAAGCTACAGTACAAAATATTTGTGTTTTAGAATTTTTTGCCTAAATTTTGTTCTGCTGGATAGCAATCTGGCAATACAGATTGAATAATATTTTAATGGAAAGACAATTAGAAACAGGTTGAGCTCCTTTGAATTTGCCCTATACCAGGTGCTTGGCATTACTTGACATGTAAAATATATGGTATATATGTATAGTATAGCATAACTACAGTGAACTTAGCATGTACATAATACTTTACTCAGATGAGAAACTATAAAAGATAAAAATTGTTAAAGTTTTTTCTCAGAATTTAACTGCTTTAGTCTCAAATAATACAACTTCAAGTTACAGCCTATATCACTATAACCTGTATATGTTAATCCAAATGTCTCAAGAAAATATGCATTACTGCCATTCGTGGATAACCATAAAAAAATATAAAGTGATTCACGTAAAGGTATTCTAACACTACGAATGATTATAAAGATACAAATAGAGTTATAAAAGGCCAGCTAATAATTGTTCACATAAAAAATACATTTAACAAATTTTATTTATAAACTTTAATAATTGGTTGTGATCGCTGGTGTTGGAAATGTTAAATTCTAAAGGAACTACATTATACTTGACAGACATCCCTTTTAGGTCACAATTCAAATTATTTATTATAATATATATGCTAAATCAAGAGCAAAATTATAAGCGAGCCTGCTTGCTCATTTTACTTTGTGGAGAGCTAACCAATAGTTTAGAGAAATTCAGTTTTAATGCAAAAAAAAAAATTATCCTCAATTCTAGATAGGAGTCATTTTCTGCAATCAAAAGGGGGTGATTCAATTAAACAAACAGTTCTTAAGATACATTGCTTACTTTCTGTTGTTGATGTTGTTATAATTATTTGATAGAGATGAAGGAGAGATCTTTGGTAAAGTTGAAAAATTGGATGCACCTGGGGACCTTTAAAAATATGAAAATGTTAAATTAGATAAAGATGCTGAATTCTGAAATTAATCATGAAATAAAAGAACAGATGCCAATGTATGTAGTAAATGAATGTTGAAAAATAGTTATGAGCAAAAAACACTAATATCAATTGGTTTCCAAATTCAAAATGCATTCTTCACATAAAAATTAACTAATAGCAAAAAAAGCAACCATCTTTATGTTTCATTAGCTAAATTAAACAAGCAATGTCATTCTTTTGATTATTTTATTAAATAAAATGTATCCCTTTTCTAAAAATTAAACATTTATTACTAAACATTTTATTGCCAATGTTCCATGAATTAAAATATTTAAATATTTAGGAATAGTATTCTCATTAGTTAATCCAGAATAGCATTATGCATTAAGAAGCCAAGAAGCCAATTGTTCACAAAGCCAATTTATAACTCAGTTAAACAACCAACTCTTCATTATCCACAGGACATAGGAAAAGCATGAATAAATCACAAAGATAATCCACAAAAAAAATTTTTTTTGGTCAACAGGTTCAAAGCTGATTAATATTAAAATTGTCATATAATAAAAGCTTACATATTTAATTCAGATCATCCAGACCCACCCAGAGTTTTAAATATTTTTTGTGCCATGGATCTGATTGGCAGTCTGGTGAAGCCTAAACATGGACCACTGCTTGGAATGATGTTTTAAAATGCATTTTAAAACTACACAGGATTACAAAGGAAACCAATTATATTGAAATTATCTGTTTTAGAAAACAAGTTCAATGATCCCAGGTAAAGAATCCTTGGTTTAATCCAACACTATTTTACAGATAAGGAAAGAGGCCTAGAGAGATGGTAACTTGCCCAAAGGTCACCCAACAACTAAGCAGCTGAGGCAAGATTCAAATCCAAGTAGGTCTTCTGATTGTAAACCCAGGGCTCCTTCTACTATACTTTCTACTGATGATTCTTAAGTTTGTTAGCTACAGTAATTTAATTACAGTTAATTTCCCCTATAAGGTGGCTTACACTATTAATTTACTTGGCAAGTTCCTTTTCCACTGACAGTGTAAAAGTAAATTTCAGTACAATACGAATATTACCACAAATTTCAAATTTGGGAGGATCAAATGGAAATGGGACAGGATCATTTTTAATTTTATAATATTTTAATTTTGAATTTTGATCTACTCTTTTTCTAGAAGACAAACATAAACTAAACATATACCCTTAATCATACAGAGAATTATAGCAGCAAACTCACTGATTCAAACTTTCAAAAGTACAAAAGTACCCTAGATGTTCTATTTTTGTGGCTAAATCCATACAAATTCTCTCTTGCTAACCAATATCATTTACCATACTCATTAACATCTCCAGTAAGAATGGTGTTTAAAAGGAAAAGGTAAAACTGTTACCAGTTGTTTTTGTAAAGATTAAACATCTATCTATTGCCACTATTTTCTAAAATCCCTTTTCATGCTGTTATTTAGACATTTCTAACAAAGAGGTTACCTGGATGGGGTAGATGGAGTAACACACTAACCTGAGCCTAATAACAGTTTGCTGATATATATTACAAAGTAGGGGGTGAATACAGCCAATTCTGAATCCAGCATCAATAATTTTGGGTTATTTAAATGGAGTAGTGATGTGATAAATCTGTTATGCAGTTATCTCTTTACAGCCCATGCCCACATTCCGGATACCACCTGCTCATTAATAACTTCCTTACAAAGTAGACAAGACAGAGAGTGATGAAATGTCAATGTAGGTGTGGGAAATGGCAGAGAGATGAAATATATTGTCATATTGCACTAATGAAATTGAGTGGTTTGTCTATATGGATTTTAATAGCTACTATTGTTCCACACTTCCTTCTCCACTTTCATCAGATTTTACCTTTCATTCATCCATGACTCATACCATAGTCATTATTCAAAAATCAGTCTATGAAATTCTTTAATTATGATAAAAACAGTGCTGTGTATATAACAGACGCTAGATATATGCCAGTTGAATGGATCTTGAAAAAAAAAGTATCAGAATTTGTAATGATACAAAGAGTTTAAAAAGATGATAGATTTGTTGCAATTTATATATGTTTTACCTATTTAAACCCTCTTATTAATAAAATCTTTTCAGTACTAAAAAAGTAATAAGAATTATTCTAAATTTAGAACATTATTTATTTTATTCTAAGTTATAGTGAGAATGTTATACATATCAAAAAACTAAAAAATTTAGTGTCAATAAATAAAGTATGATCACATTCTCTTATGGAGAACAATGACTAGTCATATTAATTACTTCCTCAAGAGAAGTTAACTTAAAAATATCCGAAATTTTATTTACCATTCTGAATACCTGATTCTGTGCTCTACCTTTTTTTTGGGGGGGGAGGGGAATTTGGACATGTAATTACATTAGTGTGAGGAATTTCAGATATGGAAATTCCTTTTACCAAAGCAAATGGACAGCCTATTTGACACTTATAGTCTAGACAGTTGCTGACTTAGTCACACATTTATAGTACTTCAGAGGTAGGACTTTAAAATTCTGGTCTTCCTGACTCCAAGACCTGCCTTTATGCACATTACTATTCTTTCAGCACAAAAATATTTTGCCTATTGAACATGGAATTGCACAATAAATGACATATATAGAGTACATACGATATACTGTATATACTACATATCATATATTATACTTATATTAAATATATGACCATAAATGGGCCATTGGACATTTACCACCCCCCCCCATCTACCCCTAAAGCTTTCCATTTTCCATACCAAGAACTTGGTTTGTAAATGTGAACCTAAATGTTCTGGTTTGAAATAATTTTTTCCTCTTCATTCAATAGAATCTTGAAAAGTATAGCTGAGGAGAATGAAGGAAGTTTCAGTTACCAAAGATAATTTGTTTCACCTATCTACAATTTAAAATTTTCAAAGAAAATTAACTATATATAGCTAAAACTATATATGTATGTGTGTGTCTAGCACTCCCCTCCCAACTCTGCTTCTGACTTTCTGGATTTTGCCCAGCTGTTGTCTCACCCTGGAGCTTACCTCAGCACCTGGGGTCTCCTCACCCTGGAACATACCTTTGCCATGCTGGGCCCTCTTCTCCCACTGCTGAACTACTTTCAGCAGGGGGAGGAACCAAGCTAGCCAACTTTCATTCCCCCTCCTGACTCTGTTTCTGATTTTTTGAACAGTGACACCATGCTCCAGAGGTTACCTACCCTTACTTCATCCCACCCCACCAGTTCTCTTTTGTGCACTGTCTCCCCCATTAGATTGTAAGCTCCTTGAGGGTTAAAGGCTGTCTCTTGCCTTTTTTTGTAACCCCAGCACTCAGCATAGTACCTGGCACATAGTAGGCACTTAATAAATGCTTACTGAATTGAATTCAATTGTTGCTTATATTTGTATCCTTCTTACAGCACTGAGCACATCTGGGACATAGTAAGCATTTAATAAACACTTGTTGCCTTACTGTCCAAACTCAGGCTTTTCCTAAAATACAAAGGCTCCTAAAGAAGCAAACAATACTCTTTTCCTTACACATTAATGTGCTATTTTAATTTTTTAGAAAGGTTAGACTACTCAAGTACAAAGAAGGTAGAAAATAAGTTAACAGTGAATAATAAGCAGATGATATAAAGAACTCTCATGAATAAAGCCAAGTATACTGAAACTTTACTATAATGTTATTTGCTATAAATTGAATTTAGGTATTAAGACAAATTACTAAATTACTAAAGTAACAAAAAAGACTTATTTATAATGTGGTTTTACCTTATGGCATGGTTATCCTTGTTGCTCTCTCAGCATCTTTGTATTTCTCTACTTCTTTTCACTGTAAAATTTTTTGAGTGATTTATACCTATTTTGTTTTAATTAGATATTCCTCCTTAAACTGTGACAATCTGGCATTCACATCCACCTTTTTACTTAAACTTGAACAGTTGGAATACATCAATGATCTCTGAATGACAAAAGCCACAGGCTTCTTTCTTTATTTTTTTTAATCATTCTGCCACATTTGAGAGTGCTAACTACTTTTTAATAATTCCATATTTCTACAAAGTTTAAACTGCTTTGCCCATTAATTTCGTGATTTACAACTATCTGATACAACCTTCTTTCTCTCCACCCCTAATTCATGCCATTTCTTTCCATTTACAATATAACTGAGGCAAAGTGACCTATATGCCAACCCCTATGTATGCCTTTTACTGTCCTGCTGCAATAGATGCCATTATTCACATTACTGCATAGGCCTGGAATGTCATACCCCTTAAACTGGTGACTCTTCAGTAACTCAAATGCCACCTCCTCTAAGAAGCATTTTTTAATTCTTCTGATATAATGAACTTAGACTTCAAATGCACTTTACATCAGTGGGGCAATGAACAAAGCGTTACATGAGAAGTAAGGTTATTTATTAGGTACTGGAAAGACGAGGGCAGGTTTTCTAGAAGACTGACATGGGGGTTAAGGGGATGCTGGGGAAGCACTAACAACTATGGAAAACAGGAAATGCCTTTTGTAGAAAGTGGCAGTGGAGCTGAGCCTTAAAGACAGGGCGTGGTTACTAGGAGGCTGAGGTGAGGAGGAAAAACATTTCAGACAAGGGCCTAACAGCCTATGAAAAGGGACATAGAAGAGTAAGAAGGCTGGTTTGGCTGGAATGTAGGGGAGCAAATTGTAAAAAAAGGCTATAAGTATGTATTTTATTTTGGAAGCAATGAAGCTTCTTGAGCAGGTGAGTGACATGGTCAGACACATAGTAAATGCCTAAAAAAAACTCTGATCATAGTAGCCCTGCGAAACGTTGATGTCTTTACCACAGACAAATGCTTATCTGGCATTTAATAATATACAGACTTGTATGGTTTATATTCTCATGTGTTTGTCTCTTCAATGAAACTGAAAGATCCATGTGTCTCCCAGAACAATGAGGCTGCACATATAAGCATAAAAATAAATATACTGAGTG